GCACCTGAGGACGGGTCGGAGTTAGACCCACGGCAGCAGCAGTACCTGCGGACACCGGCGGGCGGGACAGAGTCAGGCACGCTGATGGTGAGAGCATCAGGCAACTGACTGACAGAGTTCTTACTTATCAGCGGGTTCCAGTGAAGTGAGGCGGTCCTCATCAGTGAGCTCCAGTGAACTGACAGGGCCCTCAGTCTAATGTCTACATTTCGTCATCAGGCGATCAGCGCTTAGGCTGAGAATGTACACACAGCTTTGCACACAAACATAACCTCTGCTTTTACAAGCGGTAGCATGATTACATGTTATCGGGTGCATTGGCAGATGATTGGGTCGCAGATTAGGGACAAGTTGTACCCTATGAACCTACTCCTGGCACTTTATACCTATTTCCTCGCAGTGAGAGCTCGGGGGATATGAGCCGGAGTGCTTGATGGTCATGGTAATGGGCACCTACTTCCTACATGCTCACATTCCGTTCGTGTCCCATTTTATACCTGTTTCCCTCGCTGTGAGAGGATGTGTCGGAAGTGCTCGATGACTTGGCAGTACATGATCACCTCTCGCTCGTAGAGACCCATCTCACGTACGACGCCGACGAAGTTTCCACCTAAGGCAAACGCACGACGTCAACGTGGACCGTCCAACATGTTTCATGCATGTCTCTGTATTGTACAGATGGATGGGTTTCCTACAATCGCTGACGTAATCATACCTCCTTGTCCATCCCTCGCAGCTGCTTTTGTATCCATCAGCCCGCAGATAGATTAGTCCTCCCTAAACCCGGTGATTTCCCTAATAACCCCGATTAGCATGTCCATGTGGTAACTGCAAACCCAGCTAATTTCCTCCGGATCGAGGTGAGTTTTGACGAATTACATCAACTTTAAGGGTGACAGGTCGGGTCAAATACCATTCTTGATAAAATAAATAATAGAGGTCAAATGTTTCTTGGTTTTTCGTGACTAGCTTCGACAAAAATCGCTGTATTGCTATGGATTTGACATTGGGGCGTTTGTCATGCCCATGCTGTAAACATGGATGATTTTTTCGTTGGCCATCTTTCGATTGATTCATTTCGATTGTTCACTGTTTATCTCAAGTCAGAGTCACGCCTTATCTTGTTGGGGCAAGACATTAAACGATAGACAAGTAAATAACATTCGATTTCGCTGCTCATTCTTTGCTTAATTACGGAGCGAGCGAAGCGAGCGGAGTCTTTCCTTAGATTAACGGAAATTTCTGAGTATGAGCGGCCGGCCGGCCGGCCGGCCGTGGTCACGGTTTTGCGACGCTTATATCTCAGCAACCACTTGACCGATTTACACCCGGTAATTTTTGTAGGGTAGCTTCATTCCTTCTACCAAGTATTGGACTATTCCCGATGCATGTAGGTGACCCCTTATGCACGTGCCACGTGCAAAACGAAGAGGTGTCACTTTTGTAATTGTTGCAATATCTCGGTAACTACTCGGCCGATTGCGCTGAAAGTTGGCATGTAGGTAGGCACCCACTAGGCAATGCATATCCATGTGCCAGAGTTGGGGTGCTGCTGCACGTGCGCACGTGCAGGGGTCGATTCCAGATCTCGAGAACGGCTGGAACGATTGCGCTCAAATTTGGTACACGGTTACGGAGCAGTTAGTAGGGTGCCGTGCACAAGTCAGTTGGGACCCATTTTGCACGTGCGCACGTGCAGGGTGCCGCTTCCAGATCTCGAGAACGGCTGGGCCGATTGTGCTCAAATTCGGCACATCGCTAGAGACCGGTTAGTAGGGTGCCGTGCACAAGTCAGTTGGAGGTACCCCCTCGCAATTTCGCACGTGCAAGGCCCACCCTCTCGCTCGCTCCGTTAGTCGCCCCATAAGGCGCTATACTGGTTGTTAGCATCACAGGCCTTGCTTTCGCGACTCGCTAACTCAATATGATTACGAGATAGTTATTGACGGAACGTTCTGACCAGTGACCTGAAATAGTCAAATGATTTCACTGACGCCATGCCTATATGCTGGCACACATAGTTCATAAAAAAACGATAATCGGATCATTCAAGCAGCTCGTGAAATGATCCGAGCACTTCGATTAGGATACAATCCTATTAGGATCGGATTTTATCATTTATGCCGCAAAATAAGCAGTTTCAGTGCCTATTTCCCTTTTTAGTTAAAATGGTGATAAGGGATTTTTTAATGACCTCACCTCAGATGGCACCCTTAATAGATATCAGGTATAGTCAAAAAGTAAGAACCAGGAAGAGTTTCGCCTTCTAAAATATGCACCTTTCTGCCAAATATTCCCTGGAAGTTGGAACTGATAGCGTCGCAAAATCACACTTTTAGACTCGCCTTACGCAAGAGGCCAGTGGCTTGACCTGAGAGTGAAATAGGTGTTCTAGAATTTTGAGTTTGAGTCAATTGTGAGGTAGTCCAAATTTTAACCCCGAAGCATTCCATAACGACGACTGCGAACACGAACACCAATCCGGTAAAGCAAATGGTAAGCCATGACAAAACAGGGGGGGGGAGACAGGTACTCACTGGGAACCTTGACGACCATGACGAGCACATCCTCCTTTCCGCTGCTCTCGTCGCGATAGGTCACCTCGAGCACCTTACGCACGGTGGTGTAGCCCTCGCCCAGACTGGCGATCGGCCGGTACCGGTAACTCTTCAACACCGCCTGGGAGTCGGCCGGCAGGAAGTTCTTGAGGAACAGCCGCGCCAGCTCGTCAGTGATGCTGTGCTGCTGCGGCACGTCGTCGACGCTGGGGATGGCGGACGGTGGCGCCGGCTCGCCCTCCGCCGGGCCGTCCTGCGCCGGCTGCGTGCCCGGCTCTTTGGCGGATGGTCCGTCCATGGTCGTTCACTCGACTCGGTGAGAGCTGTACGCCGCACCGCGCTGCCGCCGACCGTTCCCCGTCGCTGACTGGTGTGGTGTGCCGCGGCCGCGAGCGGCGGCTGCCGCCCCGCCCCCGTCGTCGTGATAGCGTAACGGGAGGCAGCCGGCTCAAGGTGACGCAACAGCGCACTCAGCGGAGCGCGGAGCGCCGGCGGAGGATGGCGGTTTGTGCCGAGTCACGGCGCGATTCTGAGTGACGACATCCTGATCAGCGCCAAACATGGGCGTGTGGTCTACACTCTACATGACGTGGCCATGGGGTAGCATTTGTCAGAGGAGGAGATTGATTCCGGTCGTGGCGCTGATTTAAGTGAGCGGTGACAGGAGCTGATTGCCTTACTCAGTGCATCGGTAGCAGTTCGTGGAATGTTAACAATGGGTGCTCGGCGTGCGAGTGAATCTGATCAGGCTGCATCGGCTCCTGGAGAAGACGACTTCTGTTATCAACATTCTCTCGATATTAGTTCTCTACACGTCAGTTACCTCTACTATATTCCTTCCTTTTTTTCGCTAACTGCACATGTCACGATTCATTTTAATGAACCACCTCTTGTTTTTCTCATTTCTGTCTTCGGTGCGACCCATTCAGCATCTTTTGACCTTGCGTCAGACGCACAAGGTCAGACCAATTTACCCAGCTCGAAGTAAACAGCTGGGTGCGCACTGCGCTGCAGGCTGCGCCGCTACGCTTTTGGTAGGCACTTGTTTATTTGTGAGCGGCTGGCTATCGAAGTCGGTCTTGCGTCCGACGGGCTTTTAACCCTAGCCGGCACAGTGGGGGTGGGGGGGTGGGGGGGGGGGGGGTTGATGCAAACTCCCTAAGGCTTTTCGCAAATAGCTCGCCTAAAAAGCGGCCTATCGTGACGAAACTTTTAGTACCCTCGCGTTGCTCAATTTTACGCCTACCCTGAAAATTGCATGACCCTGACCCAAATGGCCTTTGACCTGTGACCTATTTTCCGGGACCATGTTTGGCCGGAATCGCGATTCGGCGTATGTCGGCTCGCAACATGTGATTTGATGTTGCTCCCATGCATTAGGGTGTATGTCAAGGTCACCTGAGGGTCAAGTCAGGCCATTGACCTTTGACGACCCCGGCTCACTTTTTCGAGTTTTACATGTTTCTGGGCTAGTTTTTGGAGCTGAATTCGAATTTAGCAACAATTTGAACATTTTCGAAGTAGTTTTGGTGCCTTCGTAGCATGCTGCGAAGCTGTCAGAGGCGGTTGACACGTACTACGAATACCCGGCAGGACCCTTACTGGTTGACCTGACCTGACCTGACCCGACGTCTGGCCTAAATGCATAAAGACATCATCTGTGATCAACACCAACATGATATTCGTGATTAGCACCCCGAAAAACCTCAGCAGCCACAATTTACGACGTTCTAACAAGTCCCGATTTTCCCGACTTTTGGTTCATTGACCTGACCTGGAAAGTCAACCGATGACCTAGGACCTTAAAATTGGGTATTATCGGCTTCCTCTCGTCACGGGCAACATGCTCGTTTTTTCCGCGAAGCTCTAGCTCGATCAGGGGCCAAACGCAAGGGAGTGGGGTCGTACCAACCCCCCCCCCCCCCTTGTCCCGTCGAAGGACGCGAAATGGCCTGTGCCGGCGAGGGTTAAACTTATCTCGGAGGTCGCTAGTTGATCTGAGACCCTGAAATTGGGTACCAGTCGCTGCGTCTTGTAACAGAGCACACGCTCGTTTTTCTGGGATTCTATAGCTCAGACAGGGGCAAAACGGCGAGTAGTTTCACCGCCTCTTACCCGCTCAAACCGATAGGTCGATGAGTGATAAGACGAGCGTGAACTAGATAAAAAACGTTTACGATGAATTATGGAATACAAAATGAATGAGATTTAATCTCGATAGGTTCGTTAATACAAGGAGTCCCTTCGCTTGTTTTGGGGAATTCGTCAGCTTCGGGTGCCTCTGCTGGGGAGCGGAAGGGAGTCTTCCCTTCTCAGTCTTTATGGTAAATTACATGCCACCTATGTGTCCAGTCCCCGCCTAGTGTCGCTACTTCCTCCTCGTTCCCACCACAGACCTGCTTGGTCACGTCTTCGCCTACCGCTTTCAAGAAAATACGGAAAAATACAGGAGTTGTATATTTCTATAGACCATGGGTACTTTAGAAACCACTTCTTCCAGGTTGGGCGGAAGCCTGGTGATTGGTTTTGTGGAGATGTCGGCCGCTCTTCTGTCTGCAGTCATGGTCACTTCGTTTGGGTGTTTGCTCGCTGCACGTCTTTAGATCGCAGGCCTCGGCACTTTGTGCAATTTCTCCATTTATTCTGCGAAAAGGAAAGCAAGAATCAATTTAGATTTATACTTTTATTACAATTTTAGTTACTTTTTATTTTTTTTATCTACTTTTTACTACTTTTTATTACAAATGATCTTTATTAATAATAACCTTTTTTCATTATCATTTAATTCATCCATATCACGCAACCCATATCCAGTATTTAGAACGTGAGCTACTCGATCCACCAGGAAGTTGATTGAAATGCGTAGCGGAATCGTTGTCCTCGCTCACCTGTCACACATGCGGCCGTGATCGCAGCGGTTGACTGGTGATGTCTCGAGTCTTGTTGTTCTTCACTTGACGCCGTTCTCAGCTCTGACTTGGCTGTTTGACGCTGTTGGTGTCAGCTTCTTTTGAACACAGCTGTTCAACTGCCGACTTTGCAACTCTATTTCTTCATCCCTCTGTAAAACTCGGTAAGAAATCAAGCACAAGACATCCGAAACACCCACGTCGACGGTTTTGTCATGCTGCAAATGAAAAGTTTTGTTAAAAGCGTTTTAGTTTTTTTACGAATATGTTCAATGAATTCAATTATATTAACAGTGTAGACGAGCGAATACATTACAGATTCACTGGCGAATGCGTTTAAACGGACCTTATTATCATTGAATCGATTTGTTTCGTCATGCAAGTGTGTAAGCTTCGTCATTTAACTCATTGGCACATGTTGCCTGGAATGTAATTGTTGTTTATTGCCCATTAAACCGGCGAAGTTTTTGCATCACGCAGTAACAGAATAATGATATAATGATATGATGAAATGATGGTCCTATGATAAATCTATGATGTGACCGTACAGTTACCATCTGATTCATTTGTACTTACGTCAAAGTAGAGTCCATCTGCTGCCATTACATTTCACAAAGCATGCAACATTCTCACATTCATCCAGCATTCATTCACATTCACTCATGCACCCGTTTTATCGATATTTGCATATAATTGCTCGTTGATTCAGCACTTTTACTCATTCATTCGTACCTTCGCCTTGCATTCAGGATGAGGCAGAGACGATTGTGGGTTTGGAATATGGCTGTGGAATGATTGAAACGGATTTAACTAAACACTAAAAGTTACCACTTGCTTGACTTCAAATATTTTAAAAGATACAATTATGCCAACATTTACCTTAATCTATTACGTTTATATTACCAACATGTTATATTTATTCATTATGTTATTGTTCTTGAAAGTTGTATGCTCAGCGTTTGCTCTATTCTTCTATCTGGCTCGTCCGTGCGCCGACCGGGCGGGCCAGCGCACGGCTGCTCGGTCGGCCGGCTCACCGCAGGGTCCCAGCTCCGCCGGCAGCCACTGGCGGTCCACACAGCGGATCTCGTGCTGTGCGCCGTTCTGGCAGGTGTAGAGTACCACGGCACCCTCGTGTCTCCCTTCGTCCCAGGTCACGTTGCGCGCCTCGGTGCCGTTCCCCGGGTCAGGGATGTCGTCCAGACAGGAGACTGCAACGGCGCGTAGCGGGGTATCACCGGGTGCTCCGGGGGCGAGCGGCTGCGCGGTCAGAGGGCCTCTGATCCCTGAGCCATCGATTTCTGACACATCCCATCTTACCGCTGATCCCTCTATCTCTTATATTTGATGCCTATATCTCTAATATATCCATCTCTAATCCCTGATCCATTTAGACATGATCCCTCATTCATATCTCCGATGCCTCCAGATCGGATCCATGATGCCTCTGTCTCTGATCCCTGATTCCTCTGTCTCTGTTCTCTGATTCCGCTGTCTCTGATCATTTTATCGCTTATGTCTGCTCATTGTATTTCTTATCTCTGATCACCTGATATGTGATCATTTTATCTCTTATTTTATTTCTGATCTCTGATCATTTTATCTCTATTCTCTGATATGTTTATCTCCGATTTCTGATCTCTACGTCTGTTCCGCGTCTGAGTCGTCATCGCTCGGGCACCCACCGCACGGCTCCACGGTGCCGCTCCAGCCCTCGGCCGTGCAGTTCAGAGTCTGCTCGGTGCTGTTGGACGCCAGCGTGGCGGTGACGTTGGAGCAGTAGAAGGTGACGTTGGTGCCGATCGGCACCCACTGTGACGTCAGGTTCTCCGGCAGGTCCCACGTCTGGTTGACTCCGTCCGGCATCCGCGGCAGTGGACAGTCTGCGGCAGGCACCGTAGATGGTGTGGATTGTAATGTGACGTCAATTGTTACATCATACTCGACGATCAGCCGGTGTGTGCAAAGGCTTCGTATACCATCGGCAACAAGTATATCAGCAATGACAGTGATATCTGACCGTGGCTCTCTGACACATGGCTCAATTGCCTGGTGAATTCAACGCTATTACCAACGCTCTCGGCACCCTCCTCTGCCCGTGTCCCTACTCACGGTCGCACGGCTCCGGCGGCCGCGTCCACCCCTGTTCGGTACACGCCATCGTCTGTTCTGTCTTGCCGTCGACCGTGCCCATCGTATGGATACACTCGTATGTGAGCGAGCTACCCAGTAGACCGGTGGTGTTTCCGGTACGGTTCTGAGACGGACCCGCCTCGGTGAGGTTGCCGTTGCACACTGAAACATGGGGATGGAGAGGTAGATGATGAACAAAGACCATGTATCGGAATATGTGATTACAGCTGACATGTTTAAAAAGAAGCATTTGTTTCCTTTTAAACACAAGACTCTTGTGTAGTATAATCAAAATCCAATAAAAACAAAACAAAAACAAATCGTCTCGCTGCATTGTTGACGTCAAATAACGCTCATGCTGACCCCCCAGCGCCGACCCCTATCGAGTCTGGTCGAGCCCCCACTCACTATCACAGACGATCATCTCTGCTTCGGTCCAGCCCGTCTCCCCGCACGTGAGCTCCAGTTCGGTGGGGCCGGCCGACGTCAGGTTGGCGTTACACTCGTAACGGCTGATGCCTCCGCGGCTGACGTTCATGGAGACCAGCACGGCACCCGGGCCGGCGGCAGGCGGGAAAACGCAGGCTGAGAATGGTATGTCGGTCACGGGTAGTCGGAGGGAGGGGTGCGGGGAGCTGCGGAGGCTGGCCTGAGTCGGGTGAGCTATCAAGAGACGCACATGCTGGAATGAACTCAGCTCAAGTGGAACTCAAGACTCAAGGCTTGGAACTACTCAAGTCCATACTTTAGCATCTTATTTTATTCCATTCTGCTTATTCCTTGTACTGCAGTTTGAGTCGTTATGTTCAACGCCATTTTTCATCACTATCAGAAGAATTGGGTGATGAAGGGCTCTTTGTCTCTCGTGCGCATCAGTTTCATTACTTTTCTGTAAAAAACGCATTAAAATTTTACACAACGAATGCACAGTTCTCACTTGATCACGATTCTCACCGGTGCACTCAGGTACGCAGTCTGACCAGCCGTCTGGCGAGCACTGCATCAGGTAGGTGACCTCTCCCCAGGGTAGCATCGTGTCATTGGGACACTGGTACACCGCCTGGCTGTCTCCCAGTGCCCACGACAGCGACATGCTCGCCGACGGGACCGGAGGGTCCTGGTCACACACTGCGGACAGGGGAGGGGTGGTGAAATAATGTAAATGGTAGGGTATTGTGTGCATTAGTGAAGAGCGTTGGTTGGGTCGCACATTGCGGGAAATGAAGTCAAACCATGATTAGAGAGTGGATGATCGACTCTGAACGCAAGAGAAGTGATTGCAGAATATGGAGACGAGCGTCGCAAGCGGCCAATAACAATAAACGACGAGATTAGTCATATACCCTTGCCCGTCTCTAGAAGGCAGTCTCATTGCTACAGGACCTGGCCACCAATGTTTCCATTCTAACTCACCGGTGCAGGACTGGACTGCCGTGTGGTTCCAACCGTTCAGACCTCCAACACTCACCGGTCCATGACTGGATTGCCGTGTGGTTTCAGCCGTTCAAACCTCCAATACTCACCGGTCCAGGACTGGACTGCCGTGTGGTTCCAGCCTCCAGTCCTCCAACATCACCGGTGCAGGACTGGACTGCCGTGTGGTTCCACCTTCCAGACCTCCAACACTCACCGTTGCGGGACTGGACTGCCGTTCAAACCTCTCTAACTCACCGGTGCAGGACTGGACTGCCGTGTGGTTCCAGCCGTTCAGACCACACACCACCGTCTGCGTCTTGGCCAGGGAGCCGGCGACGGCCAGGCCGGGGTTGCACGTCAGGGTGACCTCTGTGTCCAGTGCCGTCTCGCCGGCGTAGCTGCCCCAGTTCATCGTGCCGTCCGGCAGGTGTGGAAGCGGCGTGCAGTCTGCCGGACGGTAGGGAAGGTCAGCGTCAGTGCCACAGGAGACCGCACGCTGATGTGGTGCCAATAATTCATAAGTTCTTTTTTTTCTTAAATCACACATTACCTACATACCTTTGTTTCTATTTTATTTGTTTGCTGTACACATTATGTCAAATAATAATCAAGCGTAATAGCAGGTATTGTAGACCCAAAATCAATACAGGCTGGAACCAGCTCTCTCGTTGCCATTTATACGCTAGTGCACTAGGGTATTTGCGCTAGCATATTGACGCTAGCGCTAGTGCCACTGTATTTGCGCTCATTTTACCCAGCCACGAAACTCCGACACCTTCCCAATCCCCCTATCCCCCGTCCCCGACTGCCCATCCTGCCACTCACACTCGCACTTGATGTCCTGCGAGCAGTTGGTCCACCCGGTCTCTGTGCAGACTGATGTGATTCTGGTGCTGCCATCCTCCACGCTAAGGCCGTCGTTACAGACAAACTCCAGAGACGCGCCGAGGGTGCCTCCGCCGGTCTCTAATGTGGTGCTGATGGTGGGGTGGCTGCCGTTCGGCGGATTGGAGCATACTGATGGAGGGGAGGGAGATGGAGGGAGAGAGAGAGAGAGAGAGAGAGAGAGAGAGAGAGAGAGAGAGAGAGAGAGAGAGGGGGGGGGAGAAAGAGGGAGAGAGAGAGCATGGTCATTCAGTGAGAGCCAGATGGCATTTGACATTTACATGGAACAATGCAAGAGAAGCAGTATCTTTATATCTAAATATTTTGATTCTTGCGACCATTTTGATCCGTCCATGGTCATCTTGAATTACCCGTCATGGTATGCCTGCATTATGATTTTCATGCATTACCCACCCCGGTTCGTTGGCCTGCCTTGGTCCCCTCTCCGTCTCCACCTCTGTAGTATACCATCCCGTTCTCACCATCGCAGGGCAGCACATCCCCCACCCAGCCGACACCGGTACAGTTGGCCGTCTGCTGAGTGGATCCATCGACTGCCTCCAGGCCGGCGGCGCACGTGTAGAGGACCGTAGTGCCGAGCTCGCGCAGTGTGCCGTCCCAGTCAGACGTGATGGTGATCATAGAGCTGACGTTAGGGGGGTTTCCGGAGCAGACTGTAGGAGGGGAGGGGAAGAGGGTGAATGAACGACAGAGGGTCGTGGCTAGAGCGAGCACACGTCGGTCATCGACAGAGAGGGCAAGATCGCTGCTATCTTATCATCGTACATACGGCTTTTTATGTTTCGATCTATCGTTGGTGTCGTCTGTTGTTATCTGGCGGCTTCTATCGTTTGGATGAGTCCGGTAAAAACACTTATCAACCATTTGTTTTGTAAATACTGAGGAAGAAGCATATGAAGTATGAAGAGCATTGCTCTTACCACGATGACACGATTGGAGAGGAAAAAACGCGCATAAGTGCTTGTCAACCTAAGGTCAAGGTCACAACGCCAACTACACTTATCTAACCGATCGGACAAAACAAATAGATCGATCGATTGGCTATCGTCCCTCCCTTCCCGCCGAAGTATATCCGCTAGCTCACAGGAGCAGTTGAAGTCGGGTAGGCACCACTCCCAGCTGGAGGGGAGGCAGGAGGCGCTGGTGCTGAGGCTGCCGTCGCTCGACTGCAGTCCCGCTGGACAGGATAGGTTTGCCAGGGCACCGAACGCCTGTGGTCCCGACAGCGTGGACACGGCAGGCAGTAGGCGCTCTTCGTCCAGTGGCACGCAGTAGGAGCAGGGCACCACCTCTCCCACCTGTGGATAGGAGACGGATCCGTCAGAGGCGGCGGGTCCTCGGCAGAAGTAAAAGCAGGGCGCCACCTCCTTGTGATGATGATACGAATTGGTTGGAGGCACAGCCGTCTGCCATGCGGCATGCCGCTGCACTGAAACCAGTGGGAGTGTAAATAGTTACAAGCTGCAGCTTGTAACTATTTACCTCCCACTCGGCTGTAGAGAGGATTCAGATCGTTCGGAAGCAGCAACGAGTCTACAAAGGAAACTGGAGTAGCTAATGGAAACATGACACACAGCCTTGGCAGAAGCCTTAGGAACGGAAACCCAAGTGCGGAAACATGATCCACTCGTCGCATCAAAGCTTACCAGGAATGTTCATGTTATGCCTTTACGTGAGGCTTCCCTCGTTTAACCACCTATCTGTGACAATGTTAGGTTAGCTGTGTTGATGTTGGGTTAGTTAATGTTAGGGTAGCTGGTTAGCGTATCCCGTCGCCAGCACTCCGTACCCAGCCGTTGGAGGTGCAGGTCTGGTTCTGCACGGTCAGGCCGTCGGGGGTCTGCAGGCCTGCCACACAGGTGTAGTTGACGACGGTGCCCTCCAGGCGCGAGGTGTCGTCCCAGCTGCTCACCACCGTGGAGTTCGGGCCGGGGATCAGAGGAGCGCCGAGGCAGTCTGCCGGCGAGAGGACGGGTCAGAGGTCAGCGCGATATCCACTCATCGACAGGTACACAGATAAACCCGCCGTGACACAAACCGAAAGTTTTACTCACGATCAACCTCCCAAGCTGTTCATGCTTACAGTCTCAGGATCTCAGCTCTACTCTCTTACTCACGGTCGTAGGATTGTCCCTTCCCCTTCCCCTACTCGTGATCCCAAGACTGTCTGCTCCACTCACGGTCTCTGCGCCCCGTCCTCTCCTCTCGCGGTCGCAGGACTGTTCCCTCCCCCTCACACACGTTCGCAAAGCTGTCTCTCCCCTCCACTCAAGGTCGCAGGGTCTTCCCCTCCCCCTACTCACGGTCGCCGGGCCTTCCCCTCTCCTCACTCACGGTCGCCGGACTGCCCCCTTCCCCTACTCACGGTCGCAGGGCCTTCCCCTCCCCCTACTCACGGTCGCAGGGTCTTCCCCTCCCCTACTCACGGTCGCAGGGCTGCAGGCCCGCTGCCAGCGCGGCAGTCGTATGGTCGCAGACGGCTAGCTGTTCTGTGCTTCCGTCGGCCGTCTGCATGTATCCCGAGCATCGGAACACACTGTCCTGGCCAACCGTCACCAGCTCCGAGTTTCGCGGTCTCGAGGCCTCCGTGATGGAACACGCTGCCACACAGCAGCGGAAACGTCATCAGACTGCACACGGGAATGGGGGGAGGTACGTGCCACGCCACGCTTCTGGTTACATTGTGGCAAGAGTGAAAGATGCTCAACGGGAGTTCTTTACTCATTCTCTTCATCTTTTGAGCGATTCAGGATGCTATCCATGTGGGCGCAAGATGATCGTTGTTGTCGACGTGCCCTAAAGCTCCAACAAACAAACAAATAATTAACAAATTGTAGGTATGTGAGCGTTTCTACGTTATAGGATGAATCGGCTATAACCAGTTTCTGAGTAGATATACGAAGTTCACATAGCATGACCGGTCCACTATGAAACGTTATGCCTGTTCCTCAACCCAAAGGCTTGAAAGATCCCCGCAAGCTTGAGGCTCGCCTCTCACCAAACGCACAATTTACTCACCAGACCTGCACCCCACTTACCAATCACACACTCTTCTCTTTTCACACTACATCACCAAACACTTTCTCCACTCTTGTACTCACCAAACACGCACTCGACGGGCATGCCGTGCAGCGCGACGTCCAACTCGGCGGGGTACTGCCAGCCGCTCTGCAGTCCGCCACAGGTCAGCGTCATGGCGTGCAGCGCCGTCACGTTGTGCACGTTGTAGCCGTCTGGACAGGTGAATGTGACGGCGTCGCCGGTGACAGCCGTCGGCATGGAGCCGGCTCGGGTCACCGTAGGTGCCGGCCCGCTGGAGCTGGCGTTCAGCAGCTGGTCGTAGCGCACCGAGCATAGTTCTGCCCGGATGAGGTGGCTCGGGTTAGGATTAATCAGAACTTATCATGGTGCATCGGCCGGTCGAAACTTAGTGATATCGCTCAATTCATTGACGTCAACCTGGATCTGCCCTTCAGGATGACGGGAAGTTGGGTGCGTTTAAAATGGGCCCTAATTTCTGGCAGTTAATGCATGTAAATCATAAGCTATTTCCATAAGCTTTATGTAAATAGGATAACTGACTTCCTCATTCGCGCTCCCAAAATGCTGTCTATAGATGTGACAACTGATGTCACGGAAGTTGGATGACGTTTGGTCACCGCCCAGGCCCAGTCTCACCGTTGGAGACGGTGCCGTAGCCAGGCGTCTGACAGATGACTCCGATGTGGTCTGTGTCCGTCGCGCAGTTCACCGGTTCCAGCTTGGTGGGGTCGGTGGGCAGAACTGCGGCACACTGCAGTGTGTCGTCTCCGTACGAGTCGCCGACAAACTCCGTGACGGGCACCACAGTGCCGTCGGGCCGCCAGAACTTGCCGTACCGCCTGATGACCGCGAGGACACGGGTTAGACAGAGGTTCAGAGTGTCAACTAGTGTCAGTGAGAGGGTCAGAGGGTCAGGAACTAGTGTTAGGGGGTCGAAGTGTCAAGGGCTGGTGTCAGTCAGGGAGTGAAAGTATCGGTCAGCTGTTGTCAGAGGGTCAAAGTGTCAGGCGTCAGCTGGTGTCCGTCAGCGGTCAGTAGCCGTTTCCACGACGGCCATCTGATACAATTTGGTGCACATCTGGTGCAAATTAGGTGCAGATTTGGTCAAATTAGGTTCAGTGTGTCTCTTAGTAGCTATCAGCTAGGGTTGCACTAATTGCTCATATACTGCTTTGTCATATCAGCAGAGAGTATCATCGATTAATACACTGAAATAAATTCATAAAATAAAGATATTCGCTGAAAAAGAGATTAGGTGCAGATTTGGTCAAATTAGGTGCACTCGCCGGACAGCCCGTCGTGAAAACGGCTGTCAAGCACAGTGTCGGTTAGAATGTCCGTGCCGGTCACTGGTTTCAGTCATTGACAGGCGCTGATGTCAGAATGTCAGTGTCACCTGGTGTTAGTTATGGGGTCAAACTGTCTGTGGTAGTCAGTAAGCAGCCAGAGTATATCCCCCGTCCTACCGTCGAAGTCAACTCACTTGTAGATGCCGACGAAGGGGGTTTGTCCGTCGGTCGGTACACCGAGCTTCGGCAGCGCCTCGGCCACAAACTCGGCCGTGTAGTCGGCCGGAGTGGAGCCTCTCCGGCGGGTGCACGTGCTCACGTGGTCGGCGGCTGTCGCCGTAGAGTCGTAGTGGTAGCAGAAGCCGCGGTGGAACACAGCGTCCGGCCCGCAGCCCACTGCCGAGAGGTAGCATGGGGTCATTAGCGGTGTTGGTGGGGACAGGGAAGGTGTCAACAGTTGTCAGTGTGGTTGGCTGTATTTGTTTCCATTTTCGCCCCCACGATATGTTTTCCGAATCATGATATCTCGTTACCAATCGGTTTTAGGCGGGATGCAGCCTATGTCCATCGGTCACTCAAAGGATGAGCTGAGGCTGCATAAGATCGTAAAGCATTTTTGTCCACACCATGTAGAAAAGAGCAGAGCTGAAGCGCTGTGGCGGATGACCTGCAATGTTGCCCAGTGGGTCACGCAATGACCTTTAAGTCAAATAATTTTTTATTTGACATTTTGAATTCAATAATAATTCATCGGTACTTCTTCTTTACAGAAATCATAGATGACCTCAGTTTTTGCCTGAGTGAATAATGAAACGATTTAAATCAAAAGGACTTGTTATTTTTCGGCGTTTATCTCTTTCTTAGACAATCGTGTGCCCCCACGGGCCATGGCCCACACCATGGCGGTATTGGCTGATTGAGAAGGCACTTGGGCGCGCGGGGGTCTTTGCGCATGGTCGATATAGCAGTGCCGGTGGCATTTATTCTCAACGTCCTGGCGGTCGGCGCTATCAATGTTGTGCAACACTCAAAATAACTCCTGTTTGGTGTTAACAGACACCGTTATTCATGTCATAATGTAGGTAAGTTAGGTGTTTGCTAGCGGACGTAAAGCTGCTTGTGCCCACCTGCGGTCATGCAGACGTAGTTTTTGTAGTTGTTGGAGCCGAGCGTGTCGGCGTGACACTCGGCAGACTGCACTGTGGCCGGGGAGGCGCTGTAGGACAGCTGCCCACACATGGCCGAGGCCCGGTTGATTTGACCGCTCTGCTCTTCACGAGAGTTTAACTGCGTGACAGTGCTGAAAGTAGGCATGGGGAGGTGCGCAAAGTGAGAACATTGGCAGAAAGGGAGTACAAACAAATACATAAATGATCTAGCTTCGATACTGCGGAGTTATTAGCGGACTGTCAAATGATACCAAATCGGAAAAGCCTGACGATGGCTTCGGGAAAAATGACATTACCTAAGCGCCCGACCATGAACCATTGAACAATGATCCAAGCTTATGGGTATGAATACGACCCCATACTTGGTCCCGCCTAAGATGTTCTACGTATGCATGCTGCCAGACTATGTATTTCCTCTCAGACCATTCTTATTACTACATCAAGATCATTTAAATAACATGCTCGGCAAAAAGAGCCTATATTTCTTCCGGCACATGCATCGCGATTTCTCGCTATAGGACTCACCCGGGGGACTCCTGTAGCATCCATATCCAGAGTGGCTGTGTGGTGTCCAGTCCGGGCAGGTAGCTGACGTCCGGACCGAAGTCGAGTAGCTGTTCTCCCCGCTGACCGCACAGCTGGGCGGCCTCGACCAGTGACCTGGCCGGCTCGGTGGAGGGAGGCGACAGACAAGTGGCCCGTTCCGGCGCGCTGCTCAGCGACGGAGTCGTCTGCCCCGGGATGTACAGGGAGTAGCCGTCGGGACACGGCGCTGCGGGTCAGGTCAGGTCAGATCACAGGTCACAGAACACTCAGCGATACGCGGCTCTGTCCTAAGTCTCATGGTGCTATGGAACCGGTCAAGTTACAGGTCACAGAGCGTTTTACTCTGACTGTACTCCAGTCGGGCACTAATCGTTAATTCAAACTGTCCTATAAATGTAGATATACTGCATTTATCGATGAACACATCTAGTTTTCCCTGCAGTAACTTTTCCTTTCCTCATATACCTACGTTTTCGAAAAGCGCTGAAGAACTCATTTATTGACAACGGTTCTGCTTAATCATATATGTAATTGCTTTTTAATTGCTAATTAATATATGCATTCTTATTCTACTTGCTCTGTACCTACTATATCAAACTGTCCTGGTCATTTTTTTTTCAACAGGTTGGTTTCGCTCACCCATGCACGGTTTTCCGGGGATGAGCGGGTGATTGTCCATGGCTACCACGGTGGGGTCGGCTGCGTCAGGTCCGCATGTGAACGTCACGGAGTTTGGGATATCGCTCATCGAGCTCAGCACAGTCGGAAGAATCTGTGGACGAAATGCAATGTCAAAGTGGGTGTCACGGGGCACATGTGGCAAGTTTTGGCCATGGCTTGAGAGAAAGAAAAGAAGAAACAGAAAGTGTGAGAGAGGGAGAGAGGGAGAGAGAGAGAGAGAGAGAGAGAGAGAGAGAGAGAGAGAGAGAGAAGAGAGAGAGAGGGAGAGAGAGAGAGAGAGAGAGAGAGAGAGAGAGAGAGAGAGAGAGAGAGAGAGAGAGAGAGAGAGAGAGAGAGAGAGAGAGAGAGAGAGAGAGAGAGAGAGAGAGAGAGAGAGAGAGAGAGAGAAATGAGTGCATAATATCGTATTGCCTTTGAAACTTTCCAGGTGCAATGTGCATCATATCTCATTAAACACTAAACAATGAAGAATGACTATGTACGTGTACGTATGTACGTATGTACCTATGTACGTATGTACGTATATTTGGTACTCTACATACTCGTACGCATCAGCATTTACATATATCATGTTAGACATCATGACGTTATGTGCATCTCTGTCTTGCTTTGAAGTCTGGGAAACCTTTTTTCTTAAACCAGGAACATTCTGATTCAAATACAGGTACGGTACGTACATTACGGTAACACATAAGTCACATATAATTAGTACTCACCCAAGACGTGTTTTTGCACGAGATGGTGAAAGATTGCCCGGGTCTCACGGAGCTGGGCACCGTGTCCTCAATGGTGGTGAGGACGTCTCCGTGGAAGGCAAAGTGCTGATCCAGGCCCAGACAGGCGTCTGTAAAAGGACAAAAATAGACGTGAATGGACATTGGGCCAGCTAGACATTAGACACGGCTCCCAGCATGATTAAATGATTTACTTTCAAGTCGGTAAATGCCAACAAAAGCTGCGCAGCACGCAGATCATTTAGGATGGGCTATGAGGATGGCAAATGACTGAGACTAAACGTAAGCGTATTACAAAAAAGTAGAGGAAACTGTAGGTAAAATACAGAGGCACAGTGGGGTACAGTGTTGGCAGTGTTGATCACCATGGGCTTACCGTTAATCACGATGGCTGGGAGATGAGAGCCAATCATAAGTATGTACACTTACAGCCCTCTGCAAACTGCGTGGTAGGTATTCTTTCTTCGACAAAACCGAGAATAACGCGGATACTATGCTATCGGTCGCTCGAAAATCATAACAGCAAGATGCGCGAGACTCCGCACCTTAGATTGGCATTACCATCGCATTCATTTTCCACCCAGTTTGGCAACAAAACCCAAAAGTTTATATTTGCCCCCAAAACAAACTTTTGCATTTTGTTGCCAATACTTTGTTTAGTGATCTACCCAATCGAAGGAGTAGAGCATGGCGCCTCTATTTTCAGTGAGTTCCGACCGACTGACAACATAGTATTTGAGTTATTACTGGTTTTGTCGACAAAAGAACACTCGTACCTACCACGCAGTCTGCTGAGGACTGTACACACCGCTGATCATTTTGGGCGGCAGAAAAATGGCCTGTGTCCACACACGCACACAAATAACCGTGGAGCGATTTCGAGGATACCGCCCGCTACTAACCGGTAGGAGGCTGGGTATGCAGCTGCATCGAGACGGCCTTCAGCTCGACAGGCAGCGTAGGCCACGGTGTGCGTCCGTCCCGCTGGTTTTCCGCAATCAGGGGCATCGTCAGGGCCGGGCCCTGACGGTCAAAGACGAAAATCGGCCAGTGAAAATCCCATTCGGAAGATTAGATACAGAAGAAATTGCGTTAAGTAATCTTTGCAGTCGGTGCGTCCTCATGTCCCGAATAAACAAACATTGAATTTGAGTAAGTGAATTTAGCAAATTGAGTGAATCGCGGGTTCTAGTGGTCGATCATTTCGATATACATTTTTCGACAAACTCTAGTGAAGGATTCTTTCTAAAGCTGCTTCCTGTTCCACGGTATTGGGCGGGATTTCTCTTTTTCGGAGCTGGTGTCTCTGGGCACTGATTACCGGAGAGGCGGTAAGGTCGCAGGGCTCAGTCAGTCCAAACCACGCTGTTGGTGCGCAGGCACCATTGTACACGGCTCCGTCTAGGGCGGCCAGGCCGCCGTCACCTGAAACATACAGTGTGTGTTTGAACATCGAAATGTCTCGTTCAGTCTACTTATGTAAAGCCAGTCTTATCAAGAGAAAATTGCATCGCGTAATGCACTCATCTTTTGGTCAGTCGTCCACGATTTTCAACAGCCATACGACAAAAGAAAAACAATCGCCGGCGTGAAAAATACCTCAGCCAGCGATTTGTCTATTGGCAAAACTGTCCTCTGGTCACTGCGGGCTGAGGCAGGCTGCTATTCGAGTATTTACATGCCCAGCAACGTGTCGTCTTTACAAGGTCTCAACCAAGTCACCTCATCTTTCCCCGAATCGTCTCCCGGATTGCCGAGTAGGCTGTAGTTTCCAAGCCAACCTACCGGCAGTTCCCATCCGGTACTGCAGCGATCCCAGAGTCAGCTGCAGTGGGTTGCCGGTCGCCGAGAAGCCGTCGAACACGCTGAAGTATCGGACATCGTCCTGACCGAGCAGCTCCACCTTCAGACGGAGCGGCACGGCCACCTTCTGGGTTAGGTTATCGTTCCCTGTGGAAATGCACCCTATTAAAGCAGACGAACTTTGATAGTAGCTGAATGTGGAAGACTCACGAAGGTGTAGGTACCGGTGCTGATGTATCAAAGCGGGGAGCCAACCACCAACCGCTTGCGACATTGAGCTCTTATTTAACCCTCGCCGGACCTATTGGTTTTCTACATACGCGCCGGCCGAGGGGGGGGGGGCGGGTACGACCCCCCCCCCTCGCCGTTTCGCCCCTGGTGGAGCTAGCGCGTCGCGGAAAAAACGAGCGTGTGCGCCGTTACGAGACGCAGAGATTGGTACCCGATTTTAAGGTCCTAGGTCAACCGGTGACCTCTGAGGTCAGGTCAAGTGCCCCAGGGTACGGTTCAGTTTTTGGTGAATAACTTCGCAAAAAACGGCCGCAGAGCCGCGATTTTGGCAGCATCGTGTTCGCCTTGATCAGGCGCGTCGAATGATATACTTTTTGTCCGGGTCAGGTCAACTTGGGGTGTTGACCTCAGGTCAAGGTCAGGTCAGCACCCCCAGGTCATGAAGTTGGTCGAAAGAGGTCATGTTGCATATCATTCGATTCGGCAGGTCTTCCTGAGTCCATTGGTGGCTTTCCCGACTCGCTAGCTCAATTTGATCGGGAGTTATTGACGAAAAACTAATATGACCTTGATGACGTCATAAATGACGTCACGGAAGGTCAACATTGCAAAAGTGACGCATCTAACCTTGCAAGGAGTGCATCAAATCACGATTCTGTGTGCTTGAGATAGTTGGAGATCGTTCCCGGCGCCAGAATAGCAGTTTGAATTTTTCCCCATTGACTTATAATGGTGAGGTCACGAAAATGACCTGACCTCATATGACCTTTAGGAAAAATCCGAGATATACAAATTGTGAGACTCATAATGGATACTAGATCCTGCAAGTTTCATTTCCCTGTGACATCTCCTCTGGCAGTGAGGGCGTTGCGAAGTTGCGACATCTGAAGACCGTGCAGAGGTTCACTTATGACGTCATAGGTCAGTGACCTGACCTGACCCAAAAATGCGGTTGGTGTCAAAAGATGCGGCTTGGATCAAAGGTCAGGTATGCCAAGTTTCAGCTCTCTATCGCCAGCGTGTTTGGAGCTATCGCGAAAAAACCCTATGGGGGGGCGGCACCCGCCCCCCCCCCCCCTCGGCCGGCGAGGGTTAATATTTCACATATTTCGTATTATCCGTTCAAGAAATTCATTGGCTTTAAACAAATAACCAAAGGAAAGGGTCGCCTGAACATATCTGTGCGTCCGATAGACGGAAGGATCGCCTAAACAAATATGTGTATAATGCTGAATGCATGCGTGCGAATTGTTTGAACGCTTGGAAGCTTCTGTGTTGCTTGTTCGTCATTCGTTGGACTTTTTGGTCTATTGAGATAATTTTGTGTCCTGATGTATAATTATGTGTTTTACGTGCCTTAATTGTTTATGTACATAGGTAGGTATACTCGTAATTGTGGGCGCCTTATTATATACGTTAGCGCGCCTATGTTTCGGCCGAATTTCTGGCCGAGGAGAGCGGCTCACCGATGTAGAACTCCCCGGTGCCCGGTTCTCCGAAGCCGGTGACCATAATCTCGGGGTCGGCAAACGTCTGGTGGTCAGCCGCCGGCAGAGGGGCGTGGGCGGCGTCCTGACCGCGGCGCAGCACCTCGGTCCACCGGCCCGACTCCATGTGACAGTACATCTGTCAAACAGTGACAGTATAATGTTCCTCGGTCCACCGCGTCGGGCCGACTCCGTGTGACAGTAAGCCTGTCAAACAGGGCTCCGTGTGACAGTACATCTGTCAATAGTGGTCGATGTGACAGTAGGTACATCTGTCAAACAGGGACCCGCGTGACAGTACATCTGCCAACAGGGCTCCGCTCTGCGTGTCAGTACATCTGTCAAACAGGGATCTGTGTTACAGCACTTCTGTCAAACAGTACCCTGTGTGACGGTACATCTGTCAAACAGTATCCCGTGTGACAGGACATAATGTTCCTCGGTCCACCGCGCCTGGCCGACTCCGTGTGACAGTGCACCTATCAAACAGTACCCTGTGTGACAATAGGTAATCAAGTTATATAATGCTCCTCGGTCCACCGTCCTGACTTCATGCATACTACATCTGTTAAACAAGTATCCATGTGTCAATAGATAATGTGCAAAAACAAACTTAACACTCGGGCTGTGAAATCTTGGAAGTTGCATAAACCGCCATGAAAACCATGGGCCACGTCGGCTGACAGTGACACGGTTAGTGGTAAAGTTCAAACACTTAATGCATCAAGTCAAAGCGGCACTCGGCTGCAACAGTTAGTTGTTACACACTGACAACTTGAGCAGCATTGGGTGCCTGTGCCTTTAACCCGCGCCCTGCTGGGGGTCCTGGATTTCCACGCCCTGCTGGGGGGAGGTGTTTGAACACCCCCCCTTGTAACTCGGCTCCTGGGCCACGTAGCGATACGCGGAAGGCGGCGTTCGAAAGAGCGTAAAAAATAATGACGAAATCACTTCAGTCAATTTTTTGGTCAGGTCAAAGGTCAGGTCACCAGAGGTCATTGAAGGCAAAATTTCGCCGATTTCCAGGTCGAATGTCGAAAATTTCCAAGAAGCCAACGCATAACTCGGGAACCAATAGAGCTACAGCGCCGCGGAAAAGCGCATTCGATAGCCCTATTAACGCCCTTTCTGAGTAATTATCTCAGATTTGACCTAACGTCAACGGTTTTGCCTGCAGGGGGCAAAAACTGCAAAAATAGCCGATTTTTTCGAAAACAGTTTTTCTGCAATAACTTTTGACCCAAGCCTTGTACGAGCTTACTTTTACCGGCATCGTGTTCCTCTCGTCAAGACGCATCGAATGAACTATGACTTGACCTTGAAAGGTCAACTTGAAAATTTGACCTCAGGTCAAGGTCATGACCTGACCGGAAAGGGTCATGTTGCATATCAGTCGATCCGTATCGTCGAGCTGAACACATCTAAGGCGTTTTCAGCGCTCTAGCATGCCTCTATCAAAAGTTATTTGCGAAAAACTGTTAGATACCATTCGTGACCTAAGATGACCTCAGGGCATAAACAAGGGTCACGGACACCATTTTCAAGTTCAGTGTGTCTAAACCACTTGTAATTCGGTGTTTGGGAGTGTTTATAATGTCTTTCATCCAAAAGAGGCGCATTTCAATTTTCTCCCATTGACTTATAATGGGGAGGTCGCAAAATTGACCTGACCTTAGGTCATCGATATCAAAATTCTGAGATATACATTTTGTACATGTTATTGCTCTTAGCAATCGCTGAAAGTTTCAAAGCGATCGGTCACTCGGTGTAGCTATGACAGACATTGAAAGTTTTTATGAGGTGAGGTCACTTCAAGTGACCTGGTGACCTGACCTTGAATGACCTTGGTCTGAAATTTTCACAACATGTGTAGAATTGATGTATGATAAGGTGTACCAAAAACGGCGGCGCTCCGCGCCGCCGTTTTTGAGATATTCGCGAAAAACCACAAGGGGGGGTGTTCAAACACCCCCCCCCCCAGCAGGGCGCGGGTTAACGTGCCCCTCCCCTCGGCAGTGTACTTGGCCCCCAGTGATGTGAACATCACCTTACCTCCTGCAGTGTGTCGGTGACGTATACTCCGGATATGTTGAAGTTCTCGTCTAGCTGGTCGCAGAGAATTATGCCGGGGCAGGCGTCCATCGCGTGAAATACAGTCCCTGTGACGCAGCCGGCCAGCAGCAGCACTGCTGCCGACATACAGGGTTACTTACAGGTAATGTGCAAAAACTGACGAGCTGACAAGCTGAACATAGTGTAGCCTACACAGGACCGACATACCTACAGGGTCAGATTCAGGTCACTGGTTCGGGCTCTGGCCGACACCACCACTGCTTCCGACACACAGGGTTACAGGTCACTGACTGGCGATCTGAACAAGGTATACTGGGTCCGACATATTCAGAGTGAGATGCAGCTCACTGTCCTGACTCCGGCCAACATCGCTCTTCTGCGAACATAAAGTGCCAGCGATCCAGGCTTCAAGCAACGTTCCAAGTCGAACTGCCGTCTGGTAGACGGAACTCGGTCATTGAATCAAAACATGGGTCTGAGTCGAAGTAAAAAGGCCCTTCTAGACAACAAAAGCCATCATAAAACCGTGCCACCACTGAATATAACCGATATAATAGTTGACTTGCAAAGTAATGAACTACATATTACCCACGGCATCAAACACCGCTATGGCCGAAGGCCGCTGTGCAATTACCCTTATCACCAAGTCCCTAGGGGATCGCCGCGATCTTCCATAGTTGCCGCCACTGCTCGTGCACTGTGCATTGTGTAAGCTGCTAATTTTTCCAACTGCTAACGTAGGGGGGGGGGGCGAAACGGCCCCCTGTCCTTTTCCGTCAATATCTCCTAAACGGCTGGAGATATCGCCACCAAACTTTCAGGACCCCTCCGGGCATCAATTTTACAGATTGTGACTAAAAAAATTCCAGAGGCTATGACAGGATGGCCACAAATGACGTCAAAATGACGTCATGTTCTGTCATTTTCGACCGAAAAAGACCTTTGCGAGAAGACCTGTCAGGCCTACAGCTTTGAAGATACAGAAAAATAATCAGGACATAAAAGGTGTAGAATCGACAGGGCTACAAAACTGCTATCTCGGATTTTTAAATGTTTGAGTTTTGACCCCCCAAAAATCAAAAAAGTATTTTTTTATGAATTAGCCAAAAAATCCAAAAAGTTTTTTGAGTTTCGAAAAACGGAATATGTGTGATAGTACCTACCGTCTTCTATATACATACCAAGTTGCAGATCGATACCTCGTTTTTTGGCCAAGTTATAGCGAAAAAAAAACTGTTCAGTTAAATTTTCGAGCTCAATGTTTGGCAATTCGAGACTTCGTTGGGCAAAACAAAGACCACCATTAGACTCCCCGTGACGAGGTGCATCGAATCGATACCCATTTTATGCAAAAATATCAACTTTGAAATTTGACCTAATTTGACCTGACCTGACCTGACCAAGAGATAGAGAAGCGCAACTTTGCACACATCTTCCTGAATACCTAGCCGAGGTTGTGTCTAAATTTGGTGTCAATCGCATTTGAAATGACGTCACAGTGACGTCAGAAGTCAAATTATAGATTTGCGTCTCTCAGTTTCCGCACGATATATCCGATATATGAGATCGAATTTAAAGTACCGATTGTTGGTCAGGAACTACATAGTTGGAACTGTACTTAGATGTTTTGGGATGACAAGAGGTGCTGTCTAGCTTATTTACAGTTGGGTTTCATGCTCAGCGACATCAGAAACGGTTCATACCGTAACGGTATATATACTCGTAAACGGTATAGAAAAATAAAAAAAAATTATTACGTCACTGTGAATTCATCTTAACCCTAGAACGCCTAGGGGGGGCTGTATCAACCCCCCCCCCTGAGGTTTTTTCGAAGTGCACGCTAAACGGCTTGTCGTAGCGGGCTGAAATTTTCAATAACCTCTGGGGCAACCTTTGCGCATCTTTTGCCGAAAAAAAAATTGATCGGGTCATGTCAGGTCACGGAGTTATGACGTCATAAGAGGTACAGCCTCCGGCCGACAGTTACCAAACGTGTGCGCCGAATCCCTAGGTTTTCTGCCGGTGATACCCACATTGTTTGATGGATCATGATGAAACTTCCCATGCATGTTGGGGCAAGCATTGGCTATCGTGTGGTGCAAGAAAATTGACCGGGTCAGGTCAGGTCACGGAGCTATGACGTCACAAGAGGAACAGCGTCCGGTACTATTTTTGAAAAGCGCCCGAACCACTATTTTGCTAATTCTTGTCACCTCAATGGGAATATGCAGCAATATTAGCTTCTATAGGGAGCAAATGGACCTCCCAAATCCAAAAATACAATCAGATTTCAAAAATTTAAATTTTGATTTTTCGAATTTCTGCCGCCGACTGTGACCTTGCCGACTTCCGGCGCTCCCAACGCGCCATTTTAGAGCTAGGGAAACGAAATACATACCAAACGATAGAGAATTGATCAAGGAACACGATAGTGAAGATTTCAAGTCGATATCTCCCACCGTTTTGCCGCAATCGCCGCGGAAAGTTGAAAAAGTTTGATTTTTTCGGAAAATTTGACCTTTGACCGGTCATAAGTAGGTCAAATGTTGACCTAGGACCAAAAAATATACCACCAATCGCGAGATCTCGGCGAGAGCAATCCGTTGATTTTTTCCGCTAAGCTCTACGACCTTCCGTTTCAAAACGCCAGGGGGGGGGGTCGTAACAACCCCCCCTGGTCGTTCGTGTTATGAGAAATGGCCTGGTCGTGCGAGGCATTTCTCATAACATTAGATACGCTTGGCAGCTTTTGCTGCCACAGCACAAAATAGCGCCGCATTGCTAAACGTTGCGGTGAACTTTCAAAGTTCTCACCCGAACGGAAGACCAAAACAATGCACGTCATGTGCGCTCCGAATTATTGATTGAGAAAGCGAATGTGCTGAGAAATAAACAATTTATCGCGGGGGTGCAAGGGGCGCGCGATGGCGGCCGTGCGGCGGACACCAAAGAAGTCAGTTGCGAAGGTGGTGTGAATAAATGTTACCTTTTTATTGTTGATTATTGTAAAGAAATGTGTGATTATCAATGGGAAGAGCTTAGGTGCGACATGAATTTATCTAAGTATCGCCAATCGTGCGTTATATTTAAGTGGCAGCAAAAGCTGCCAACCGTATCTTACGTAGTCAAAAATGGAGCAGTTACGTCCTTTTTGCTATGCCATTCGTAAGTGAGCAACAATGTCTGGCTTTATGGCTCATAGTGTTATGCCCCAGTTCTTTGCCTTTCCAAAAATGGTCATTACCGGGGTTTCTGCTATTTATTCTTGTCTGCAGAGCATTGCATACCAACACACTACCAGGCGTGTAATGTGTTCCGCCATTGCTGAAGCAGGGACGTTGAACGGAGTGGTGCGGACAAACTGTCATCAGAGGCGCCATCCCTCAAGGGGCGCGCCGTCGCCTAAGGGAAGGTGGTGTCGTGGCTCTATAGATGAACGGGAAGAGGGGCGCCTGCTAGGCCTGTTGGGGCGCCTTTGAGGCCTAACTATGGGGTCGCCCCCGCCCCCCGCCCCGCTCCCGCCCCCCATGCAAAAGAGGGGCGCCTACGAAGGTCATGGCCATAATGGCGCATCTGCACGAAAGAGGGGCGCCTGCATGCCGAAGAGGGGCGCCTATGAAGCCCAATGGGGCGCCTCTACGAGAAAGAGGGACACCTGTAAGGTCTATAGGGGTGCATGTAATGTCCATAGGGCACCTTTATGCGAAAGAGGGGCGCATTGCATATGAAAAAGAAGCGCACTGCACAAGAAAGAGGGGCGCCTCTGAGACCTATAGGGGCGCCGTTGATGACCAAATGGGCGCTTACATGGGAAAGAGGGGGTGCCTATAAAGCTTAAAGGGACGTCCTCCATGTGAAAAAGGGGCGCCTGGGACCTGAGCGCCCTTCCGAGCTGTCCGAGGTCGACGGAAAGTTTGTATATGTCCAGCTCCTGCTGCACTATCCTCCAAAATAATTCGATTGGATTTAGGCCAGGACTGTTCCCTAGCCAAGTGTCCTTCCCCCAGATATCGGACAGATGGTCCTGGCATCGCCTAGTTCCGGAAGATCGATGAGATGGAGTACCGTCCAGCATGAAAATGCTGTCCGACCTGCGGGACACCATGCGCCGTTGGAGCACGGGGTAGTGGTCTTTTAATGCCAAATGCACGCTTTTTCAGTATGTTTTCTAGGTAGTAGTCGGGATCGACTTCGTCTTTTGCTAGATCACGTCCAGCTGGTTCATCTCAGGCCCTGCTAGGACATCGTGATCGTTCGACATACCATTGCGGCGAGAATTTTTCGCAGAAGTCTGTCGGAACTTGGGCTGCGTTTTCAGCCCATGCTCGTTTTGGGGGTCCGTGTGGTGAAACCATTGAAACGGAGACTCGTCGCCGAACTAGACTCGCTTCTACATACCTACTCCGTTTCCACTCTTCTACCGGTCAGATTCTCCGTTTCGTGCAAATCTGAGGGCTCTGGTCTTGCTGATTTTCGTTATTTTGGCCGCACCAATAGTCAAGCGCCTTCAGTCCAAGGGCGTTCCTCCCTTATCAATGGACAACATTATCCGAGTGATCATTATGAATAACACTTCAGATTCTCCGCAGAATGGTCAGACTTCCCAGGTGCTTTCTTCATGACGATCTTGGCGACGGTTGAGACGCAGGAGGACCATGCTGATTGGGGCTTATGCGTGACGCTACTTGTCCCTAAACTTCTTCCACCAGCGCTTGTTGGTGAAAACGGGGGCTTAGAAGTGTGAGGCAGCGTCCTTCATGTGCTGCCACTTGCTAGCTTGGAGCATGCCAACAGCGCAACTACGAACCTCTCAACTGTAAAGCTAAACATTCATGCTTAGACGTTCAGTAAATGCGCCGTTCAATGGTTAAACAATTACCCATGCCAGTGACCCCCATTGGTAATGGTCAGCTTTTCAGATAATCTCCGCTTCAGAGAAAGACTCAGGGACACAATTCGTTGAAAGGAATGCGATATTTAGGAGCACATTGGAAACACGCGAAGTTGCTTTAAATAAACGGTCGACGGAAGTCATCAAAACCTTCGTCGCATCCTATTTAAGATTTTGTGGGGAGGGGAAGCGCGTGTGAGCTGAAATAATGAGAGAAAGAACATGATCTCTCAGAACGAGCTTAACTGTTAGCTGAGGTCTGGATTTTGAGTTCATTATTCTTGAGAATTATTGGCTACGGTCGTTATTTGCACGGGCTACGGTCGAATGGAAATCCGAACAATTACACATATTCAAGATCATATCTGGTACGTAAATAAAATAGTTCGTGAAAATTGTACATGCACCAACAGGGGACACTCTGTGGCAAAGGTTGTTGGTATCGAAAGATCATTTCCTCGCGGTTTTGATATGTTTGTGCTTTGAACTGTGACAAATCACTCCATTTTTGACTATGTAAGATACGCTTGGCAGCAAAAGCTGCCAGACCGGAAACGTACACTTCCGGTTTCGTGATCTGGCTAAAAATGCACATGTATTCTCCTAAAGGGTGCCTGACAAACATATGTTAAAATCGCAGTGAAAGTCGACAAAAAAAGTTTTCGGCTCTAATGGGTTAAGTGCTACAACCACTCAAGTTTCGTCAAACGTTTTCTGGGTATTCATTTGAAGCTATGCCGAGTTTCACGTTTGTAGCTCATCAGGTTTCGGAGATATTCCACGAAACGTAAAGGGGGGGGGGGCAATTTTATGCCCCCAACGGCTCGTGGGTTAAGGGGGGGGGCACTGCCGACTTTTGGTCCCATTCTTTCCATGCAACGCCCAATAGGGCTAATGTTAAAATGTCAAAATCAAAGGGGGGCACGGGGCCCCGGTGCCTTCACTGTTCCGCCGCCTATGCATATGAACATTTACGAAGTGGTTTTGGTGCCTTCGTAACATGTTACGAAGCTTTCAGAGGCGGTTTACACCTACTACGAATACCCGGCAGGACCCCTGCTGGTTGACTTGACCTGACCTGACCTAACCTGGCCTAAATGCATGAAGACATCATCTGTGATCAAAACTTATATGATATTCGTGACCAGCACCCCGAAAAACCTTATAGCAGCCACACTTTACGACGTTCTAACAGGTCCCGATTTTCCCGACTTTTGGGTCGTTACTTCCTCTCGTTACGGGCAGCTTGCTCGTTTTTCCGCGAAGCTCTAGCTCGATCAGGGGCGAAACGGCAGTGGGGTCCAACCCCTTATATGTTCACGGTTGGAAAAACACCAATACGGCCCAGCAGTGTCCTGAAATTGATTTTTCGGAGAGTGTGATTGAAGCCGCGAGGACGTCGCTATTTCAAAAGGACGTCGATATCGGTGCGGAGCCTAAGCCACTGAAGATCCCTTAACTAAATCTCTTAAAATTAGCGATTTTCACTGGCAATATTGACTAATACCACCTCAAGGCACCTCAAATGATCATACATAGACAGGGGTGGAGAAATATGCCGAGTTGGGGTTGCACGGGCGCAGCAAATCCGCCGCCGTCCTGGCGGTGACCTTGACCTCCGCTGTCTGGTGCGGCTCCAAAGCCAAGCCGGCGCAGCCGGCGTGGAATTGGGAAGACTCGTGCTACCCCAACTAGGCACATTTGTCCACCCCTGTACATAGACACAAAGTAATGCCAGTTTACCCCTAGTAAAATACAAAATTCAAGCATTCACCACAAACACCAAAACAACACTTTGCAGATGTCTAGTTCTTGTCCATACTCCATGATCGTACACAACAGTCAACAACAAATATGCTTCAACAAAATCAGCCCAAGAGCCAGCGGCTATCACTAAATATTGACGTCATAAGAGGGATATCATATCGAGCAAGAGGACTGATGTAAAAAAGCAGACGTCCAAACAAAGAGGTGGAAAACAGTTCGGAAAATTAATTTCCATAGCTTACTGTTATGAAATTTCATTCAGGAAACTCCAAGGTGGACGCTGAATTTTTCTTGGCTGGAAAAAATGTGAAATCATTGTGCACTTTTCAGTTTTGTACCGACGTCGATTAAATGGGAATAACAAGGTCAATCGACGTCCCCAACATTGCGTGTATTTTTAAGCCAAGGACGACATACTTGAATTAATTCTGTTGAAATTCGGTAACTTTATTCTAATTCAAACAGATAAACATTAAACTTTCTCCCCAACCACTATCAACATATGCAAAATTAACTACTTTTGAAGGGCATGTTCAAGGGGCAGCGCTAACCCGTTACTGTGACCTTCTGAGTGGAAAAATAATTAAATATGTTACAGTAATTTGATACGAAAGGTATGTTGCGTGCTTATAGTTAAATGTCCAAGTAATATATTCGCATGATTAATTTTTATCTATACACTGCACAGTTACTAAAACTGAAAAGTGGAAAACGACGTCCTCAGATCCCTCTATTCCGACATCTTTTCTCCTTCATATGGCAGCATTACCTTCACATGGTAAAGGAAAAAAACCTATCCATATCTGACGCACAGAAAACGAAAATAAAATAAAACCGCGTTGTTTACTGTTGCGGCAGTTGGCCAGGAAAGGGGAGTTGAGTGTAAGAGTGGGTTTGTGAGGACTTAGGATATATTTGTTGTCATTTTGGCCGTGTTTTTAGGCTACAGAGGTGATATTTCCTTTTGTTAGTTTGCTTTTGGTGTTCGATATACCTATCGACTTTTATCTGTCAGGGACGTCGTTTGGCTTTCCGGGACGTCACAAAGAGAATCTGTTAGGTGTGGGTTTCCACCCAAATTCACGAAAATCAGGACACTGCGGCCCAGCATTGTGAAACCCATGCCTTTCCTAGAGTGTGAATGTAACATTATTCTTCACAGTGAAGTGGAGTAAAAATTAATCGTGCAAGAAATAGGTACGCATAAATTAAATCATCCTTAGGTCTTTTACATTAGACTAGTTTGACGAAAGACAACATTTTTCTAAATATCCCAAAATCGATGCGTCGTGGTTCCATGAGCCCAAGGTGGCCATTAGCGCGAAGCAAAATAAAGGCATTTAGTGCATAAAGCAGCGGATTACAGGAGCGGTTCAGCCGGAATTGGAAAGGCTGGTGGTCCGTCTTGCCCCACTGGGCCGACGTCGCCCACTTTCCGGCACCAAAGTAAGTGTGATAAGTGCGAGGATCATTTTTTTTTTTTAGCTTGAACGAGGAAAATTTATCAGGTATTATATATGGCAAGCACAATTTTATCTAATTTTTACTTAACGCTTACCTTACGTCGCTACTTACCCGCTGAAGCTAAAATTTCCAGTCGTGCCATTGTGTTGCTGTCGGCTCAGCGGGTCCCGGCTCCGGCAGTCGGCGCCGTGCCGAGCACGCTCCTCTGACCCTGACCTCTCCTCGGGTCTCTCAGAGTTCGCGCGGGAGCTGTAGCCTCTGCGCGGGCCCGCTGCAGACGCGCGGAGCTGCGGTCCAGGCGACTCGGCCCCGGCGCCACATCTGTGAGGGGTGCGATCGACCCCGCGCGGGCGGCGCGGGGCGCGGGGCGCGCGGCCCGCCGTCACCCCGGTGACGCGGTACACGGCGCCGATCGTGCACCATTGCCATCCGTCCCACCGGCGCTGGTCACTGCCGACATTTGTCCAGAAAACGAGCCGCGGACCTTGCAGGGTTTGTGGCAATAACATAAGGTATTCAATGGCGTGGTAGCCTTTGGGATTCGGCCTGAGTAGCTTGAAGTGGGTTTATTTGGACGATCAATGCTGCACTTGCGTGAATAACGTCACCAACGAACACTTCCTCAGGAACGTCAGTTGTCGTGAATCAATGATTAATGAAGCAATGCGTCGATTTTTTAAGGTGGCAATTTCCTTTTAAGTAGCCTACAGTGATGAATTCTCTTCTCATGACAAGTCGGACACAGAACAAATCGCCCAAACATCCCAGTATTGCCATACAAAATGAAGGAGGTAAGTAAGGGAAGTGAATGTGTATTGAAGTCAGCACAGTGGACAGAAAACACCGTCTTGGTCCTTAATGGATGCGATTCTGCAGTGCAAGTATGTATTAGCCGTTTTTTTTTTATTCTCGCTATTAGGTTTAACACTCAGAAAAGCAGGACCACGTTCTGTTATTTTCTGTTGTTATCTGTTCTGTTAGAACAGTTATGTATGTACTGTTACAATCTGTTATAAACGTATGGCTGCCGTCTCCATTTGTATCGACGCAAAACAGCGTAGAACATGGACGTCACCACTCACCATCTAATGTGAGCATTCCGTGCGCCCGAATGGCCGATGTTGTATATAACTATATGTATAGGGGAGAGCGGGGCACTTTCGTGCATGGGGCACATTCCTTTCCAACAGTTTATGGGAACCCGAGTGGCTATCCAAGCTAAAGGTAAATTATAAAATATGTCAATCATTGCCATCGCCCCCCCCCCCCCGTTCACCGTAGAAGACAACACTGTACCTGCTATCATGCTTGATAAAACCGCAAATTTGTATTATTCGTGCGTTTTCAAACTTTTTCATAGCATCCATTTTCGTGATCCTGACTCGGAAATGCGGTGCAGCTTTTCAAAATTCACGGCGAAGAAGCTCACTCTATTCACGGAACTGTTGCAAACTTGTTTGTTAAAGTAAGTGTCATTTTTCAACAAGTAATTTTGAAATATATTACAAAAAAAATATTGTGGGGCAGGTTCGTGTACGCACTGCCCAGGGGTACCTTCCTGCATTTTTTCGTTTTTTTTTTTGCGACCTATGACTGTCTGTAGCAGGTTTCATTTATGACGCTCGCCTGACTCAGTCTCGGCTGCTTACGACGTCATGACAAGTAATTCACGCGACCTTGGCGAGGTCACGGAGGCGGGCTGATGACCGGCAGTAGGCACATTATTGTTGGCCAGCCCATTCTTTCTAATTTGTTGTGCAATGCATTATTGTTGAAAGGAATCAAGTGAAATGCCCCTCTGCCAATTTCTTTTGGTAAATTTATGGTAATGCCTGGTAATTCCTCGAACTTTGCATGCAGGGTACACGGAAGTGCCCCACCCTTGCACGAAAGTACGCTCAGCCTCATACCTTGGGCAGTTTCATGCAAACGTTCAGAGTTTCTAAAAGTCATATTTTCTAATAGAAACGATAATTTAAGAGGATAACTTTTAATGAGGAAAATACCTGCAATAGTTCCTTTCCATACTACCATCAATCATTTTACCATTGCACCAATCAAAAAACAGATATATGGATTTATCCATTTTTTGCACGAATGTGCCCCCACTCTCCCCTACCCTGCGAATGGCCGGCGCAGTTGGTTCACAGCTCCGCCACTAGATGGCACTGGTGACAAGCGCCTGAAGGTAGACTGTGCCGCCTAACTCAGCCGCACAGAAACTGCCCGCCCGGGCTTTCAATGCGCCGAGAGCGATTCGCAGCCAATTCCATGCATATTATCGCGAGCTAGTCAGCGTCGGGTGACGAAAGTGAAAATTAAAACCAAGAAACTCTGACACCTGATGTCTAGTGTTTTAGGCACGGTCGCCTGTTTTTTTTGCCCGCACACGATGCATGGCCCGTTCCGTGATCGCTATCATTCCGTGTTTTCAATTCTCTCCCGAATAAACTTTTTTTTTCTGAAGTTTTGACATTTTAGATGCAAAGGGTTTCAAATTGAAATGAATAAGACAGCGTCTTTTGAATATTTATTACAGAAGGGTCTTGGCTCTTATTCCGTAAACTGAATCTGTTCCTTTGAATGGTTCTCTAACGAGTATTGGCTTCGTCATTTTCAATATATAAGAAATATATTTAAAATCGCCAGCAGAGTCATTCAAATTTTATGAGCATTTTTTTTTTAGAGCCAGCACATCCACGTATGTAGGTATAGCCATTACCTATATCAAGGCCATACGAGTTACGTAAGCATGAGTGGTTACATATGCAGACAGTTGCTAAAAGCGACTATGGCAACAAGCTATATAAACTCGTAGGTGTAATACCTAGTCGAGAACGGTGACTCTATCTTTTTTTCTTTTCTACTCGGACTCTTTTTTTCTGCTTACCTACCAGTGGTTGGGGGCTATCGTTATAAAATACCTACCGCGCCAGTTTTCCATGGTGACCTTTCCAACTTTCCGCCAACTAGTTTCAACTGTCCACCAACTTTCAACTGACAACTTTCCGCCTACTTTTTATCGGCCTCATTCTTCCAAAGACCGTCAGTCCCGGTGGAAGGTCGGCGTGATTGTCTCCAGCTGCTATGACGCGGCCGGCGACCGGCGGAGTCGTGACGAGGGCCAACTGGTGACCGGCTCATCAGCGGCTAATGAGCGCGGCACAGGTGCCGAGAGGACGGGGAGGTGGTCCGGGGACCCTGTGCGACACAGACGGCCGGCACCGCGCCGCGGCCGGCCACGGACTCGACCCCTACCGCCAACATGGGAAAAGGACGCCAGGTACGAGATGGGATCGGGATGGAGCTACTGGGAGCTGTCGCGGCGGGGCCTTCAGCCGTGCGCGGTATGACCTGCTTGTTGCGGTTCGTGCTGGGTGCGTTGTAGCGGTCACTCCAATGTTAGGTAACTACGATTTCCAAGTAGATGTTATGTAATGAAGGCGAGTGAACATGTGAAGTCGCTGTTGGCTGGTGCGATGCTGGTTGAATGGCAGGAGAATCACATCGCCCTGTAGCTTTTTCCCATTGTGCCCTGTCAATGCGTCGGTGAGATGAGATCCTATCCTACGCCGATAGCCTGGTCCGTGAACGTTTCGGTCGTATTTTTGCTGTGCCACTCCGCACTATTTTGTGCATTTATGTACCTGTTTCCACACTGTTCACGACCACACGCCTCTCTAAAAACCGATCTCGGCGCTCCCCGTCCTCAGGTGCTTGGCTCTCTGGCCGCCAACGGCTTTCTGCTGGCCTACGGCCTGCAGGAGGGGTACACGACGCCGGCGCTGCCGCAGCTCCGGCAGGCCGGCTCCGGGCTGGCCGTCAGCGACGAGGACGCCTCCTGGATCGGCAGCATCTTCCTCCTGGGGATTGCTATCGGAACGCCGCTGCAGGGCCCGATGCTGGCTCTCGGTCGACGTCGCTCGCTGATGTTTGTCTCTCCGGTGATGTGTCTGGGCTCGCTGCTCATCACGTTCCCCAACAGCGTGGCTATGCTGCTGGCCGGCCGCTTCGTGAACGGCGTGTGCATGGGCTCGGTGCTGCCAATGCCGCACATCTTCATCAGCGAGACGGTGGCGCCCGAGCTGCGCGGTGCGCTCGTCGGCGCCGGCATGTTCGGCATCAACATCGGACTCATCACCGTGTACAGCCTGGGATTGGCGCTCAGCTGGCAGCAGATCGGCGGCTTCATCGCCGCCTTCTACGGCCTGTACCCGCTGCTACTGTGGCCGCTGCCCGAGACGCCCAACTGGCTGGCCACGCACGGCCGTGACCAGGAGGCGCGGCGCTCGCTGCTCTTCTACTCTGGCGACGCCGCCGGCGCCGAGACCGAGCTGGCGCGCATCAAAGAGCGCAGCACGGCGCACAACCCGGACCTGCCGCCGGTGTCGGAGCTGCGCAGACGCGCCTTCTACCTGCCGCTTCTCGTCAGCGTTACCGTCACACTATGTAAGGCCACCTCTGGCACGCCGGCCATCCACCTCTACAGCTACGACATGTTTGTGGCGGTCGGCGGTAGCGCCGATCCTCTCCAGGCCTCCGTGGTGAGCACGGCGCTCAGCTCGGTCGGCTCTGTACTGGCGTTTGTCCTCATGGACCGCGCCGGTCGCCGGCCGCTATTCCTCCTCGCCATGCTGACCTGTGGTATCTGCTGGGTGGCCATCGGCTCCGCGGCGCTGCTCGTGAGTGACCCCATCGCCACCGACTGGGTGGCCATCCTCGGCTTCTCCGTGGCGCTGTTTGTCTACAACATCGGCATCGGCCCGGTCGGCATGGTAATCATGGGGGAGATGATCCCGCTGCGATACCGTACCATCATATCGCCCCTCCAGTCCATGATCATGTGGATCGCCAGCTTCGCCGTCGGCAAGACCTTCTTCCAGCTGCGCGACGCGCTCAACTTCTTCGGGTTATGTTTCTTGTACGCCAGCACATGCGCGCTGTTTGCCGTACTCGGTTTCCTTCTGGTACCAGAGACAAAAGGTAAGACGCTCTCTGAGATTGAGGAGATGTTTGAACAGGGTACTCTACCGGTTAGCAGGAGAGCCAGCGCCCATTACGACACCCTCAAAGACGAACCGGAGGAGAAGTCTGCCGTTAACCGCGCGTCCCGACCGCCCGTCTACGGCACGGAGGCACCGTCGTCGCCGCCGCAAGAGCCTATCTGACGGAGTTTGAGACGGACCAGGGACGCCATCTTAGGACGGTCAGTCACGTCACACCGGTGACTCAATGATGAGCCGGTCACTTTTTGACGTGACCATTGACCAGTGCTGACTGCACCCTACGATTGCAACGCTCTTCGTGGCTGAGGGAGTAAGCAAGTCTGCTATGAGGGTAGAACGGCGGTAGTTATATAACATACAAGTGCAACAATGACAATAAGCATCGCAGTCGGAGCCATAGCTATCAGTATCATAGCCGTTCAGTTATTTGAACAGCTGAAGCCTGAGAGTATCACCTCCTGCTGCCCAATAGGCATTTACGAGTGGCGTGGTTAATGATTTGCAACTCTGACTGGAATGATCTGCCACAAAACAGCGTTCAATACAATATATTTTGAATGAATTAGAGCTATCTCATATAGCAGGAAGCAGTTAGCGGGCATTTGGTACGAATACATGATGCATAATTCCTGATGCTGGTGTAGGTAACATTCCCTTATAAATGCATCAGTCACTGCGTCAAGTGTACAATTACACCCTAATGTTGCCAAGTTGGCGAATAACGAAGGGTGGCCACTTTATAAGATTGCTCCCTTGATTACCGACGGCTGATGCGGACTGCGGTACGCGACTTTGTTACCGGCTGGGTTAGCTGGAAACACCCCCTCATTGGCGCACAGAGGGTGGCATCCAGCGACCCCCGACGAGCATCGGGACGGTACGGTTCGCCCACCGAGCACGTGTATAAATAACACTGGCGCGACGAGGAATGGCATCAATCACCACTGTGAACACTGTTCTTTGTATAGCATACACACGTTGGGTCGCCCGGGCTAATGATAGGCCATGCATATGTGCTATGGAATGAGTGATACTATAATAAATCAGCCAGGTCACGCGAGCGTCCGTAATGTGTAGTTTAGGATGTGACACGATCTGGACAACTACCTGTCCCGCGTAGCACTTTTTGTAGTGATGTATGGGTCTCCGGAAGCTTATGTTGTGTGATAGGCTAACAGTACAGAAACGATGCAAAACATCGGTGAAGAAGAAAACACGCAAGAGAGCAGCTTGGTGTCTTGTAATTCACGCGATAAACCCAACTAGCCTGGGTGAACGCTCATTATTATAAAGATTACACCAATCAGGGGCGGACCCAGAAAATCTCCAAGGGAGGGGCCATTAGAAACCAGGAGGCCCCCCCCCATAATCCCATCTGTTGGAGGCCCCATCTTCCCACTTGTTGGGCCCCCCCCAAAAAAAACTGCGTCTATTGAGCTTATCTAGCTGTTCAGGCAACATCTCAACATCTGTGCAGGCTTGGAGGCCCTCTGTGCAGGTTAGGAGGCCCTGTAAAAGCGGTCATCTCTGTGAGTATAAGAGACCTCCAAGTTATGAAAAGCTTTACCAATCTTCTAACAAAGAAGTCTTCTCAGCTAGTCTTCTAAGAAATAACTAAGTGGGTAGGTTAAAAAAAAAACTCATCGGATTTCGGCCACTTTATTTTCAGGAGGCCCCCTTTTCAGCTTTTTAACTTTTTAACTTTTTATTTTATTTTTGAAAAAAATCGGCCAAGGGGGGGGGGCCATGGCCCCCATGGCCCCCCCCCCTTGTATCCGCGCCTGACACCAATACCTTCAAATTTAGAATGAACTGGCAACGCATGAAATAGGGCCATCCAGCATTTACACATACGTGCCTTTTCAGTGAGGTTCACAAACCTAAATATGTGAGTCGGACGTATGGACTGTGCCCGGAAATTTGCAACTATCGGGGCTCGATCAGCACACGATTTAACCATGAGGATCCCAACAATGCTCGACCACCTCAGTCCTTTCTCTTTTCACCTCCACCACACGGGTCATCATCGAAACAGTCTGTAATTAGTACGTCTTGTAATGTATTTATCGACCGAAAATTGGCCACTAGCAAACACATATGCGACACGGACGATGTATTGAGCGCCCGAGCTCCAACCTATGTCAACAAGGTGGTTAATAACGGTCAAAGACGCCGGGTCAGCCTAAGTGACCACGGTACGGTCCTTCACAGGCACCAAGCTGCTGCTCAGATCAAAGGGTTTGAGTACCCACCCCACTGGGTGCCCGCCCCCTGTCACCACCGATCAAAGAGTGTTATTTGCACAGGACACACACGAGTGGTTTGTTGTACAGCAATCACACACGACAGCCGAGGCAGGGCTGACGGCCACTCGTATTTACCTTCGATTAACCATATCGAGCAAGTTTTCAACGGGAGTGATACAAGGGCGAAAACAAGAAAGCTTGACGATGCAGCCTACGCGGTTACTGTCATACAATAAATTAGTCTGAGCGCCATATGCTGCACTTACCAATAGCGATTAACTCGTAAAAGCTCAATGCTGGATTGATTTAACACAAATCCTTACGGTAACTAGCATTCCCCGCACTTCACTTACACTTCAGCGTAGCCTCACAGAAGCCGGAAGGTCAGCACACACCCAGTGAACCTTATACGAGCGGGTGAGTACTTCACCTGCACCATAGTGAACATAGCATCTATAATGAATGGACGGAAAACTTCCTCGACTAGCACGGAAGCGTGTAATCACAACCGTTACAAATGCCAAAGTACCGACTACACGGCTGCAGTGAGTAATGAGTATACCCATGATCGGTGGTAGGACGACCACTGGATAATAAGCTGCACTGCAATCTTACAATAGATAAACATAAACCATGCCTGTCCACACAACCGTATGGAATTATGCCGTGAATACAAAGCATTGTCTTCGCAAAAAGTTTTCAAAAATACAGACACTACCGACAGATATGGACGGAGTCGGTTTCTTTCAAAGATCACAGCTTGCCGTGGCAATCATGTCCACGTTTGAACACATTGCACATTGACAACCGTTACCCCGAGGCCGCGGTGCCTGGTCACTCAGTGTGGCCAAGGTCAGTCACATGACACGTAGCACAGGAGCCTAGAACTCCGGGTCCTGCACAGCCAGCCCAGTATCAGTCAGCCCGTGGTCACGTGACACGGCACAGGGCACTAGACCGCGGTCCCAGCACACACGATTCAGAAGCACCAGTCACGTGTTTCGATCAATCGCGCCGCTCGTACCTCGGGAAGAGCCGCAGAAACTTGACCGCCTCATACTCGTACATTTCGGGGAGCTGCAGAAGGCCGTCTCCGTCAGCGTCCAGCTGATCAAAGGCCGCCTCTGCCGCCTCATCGTCGTCGGACAGCGCGTCGGCGTACAGGTCGGCGAAAGCCAACAGAGTGAGCTGTTCAGAGTCCTCGGCGCGCGCCACCAGGTGCGCCCTGAGGGAGGTCAGCGGGGTCAATAGAGGTCAGCGGGGTCAGCGGGGTCAGTGAAGGTCAACAGAGTCAGCGGGGGTAGGCGGAGGTTAGCAGAGCTCATCGAAGGTCAACAGAGATCAGCGGGGTCAACCATGGTCAGCGAGGACTAACAGCCAGCAGACCTTAGAGTTGAGGTAGGGGGTCATTCGAGATAGGTATATGGTATTTTATATCTAAGATCAGCAAGGACAAGTGGAAGTATGCGGACGCCATGATATATCGGCAGAGCGCAAGAGAGAAACGATCTCACTGACTAATGCCAGCAACGAATAGCAGTACCAGTATTTAGTCAGCATTCGGTTCACGCAATGGCGCTCCCTTGGCCTATCGACCGTCCCCCATTCGGTGCGCATTCACCTACGGACCACTAATCCAAGTGGAAAGTCAGCGCTGGAACCCCACCCCATGCAGGAAGTTCATGTCTGCAGTTTAGGGGGCATACACTACTGAAAATCCAGCCCAGTTCTGTGACACTCGCCGCTAGCTCCAGATCAGTGACCTGGATACTCACCGTTGTAGGTCTGCGTCCTCTGCCGGGTCAAAGTCGCTCAGACTGGCGTGGTCGCTGACCTCGAAGTCGGAACATTCAGACTCGTTGAACCAGAGAAGTCGAGAGAACCACAGGTTCACAGCCACGTTCCTATCGGGAAGAGCGACGAAAGCAGCGTAAGAAAGAGAAAAAGAAAAAAAAAGCATGCACAGAGAAGGACAGATGACATTATATAGACGGCTCCCTGTATAGTTACGTAATGTTGAGCAATGAGCATTGTAGCCATCGGCAGTGTGCAGTCTACCAACGGCAACCCCCAGAGCCAAGGACGACGACAGCAGTTTCGGCAAGCCCACGCGATCATGCACACACAGCATGTCACGTCGCGTCAGACCCCGTTCGACCCTGCCCCCCTCCCCCCACCGATCAGCGCTCGAAGAACTGCCCACCGTCTACAAATATAATGACGACAACGGCGGCACATTCCAGCGGCGGCCACGGCCACCGCGCGCCCTGGCCGGCCTGTTCCGCGGCTATTTGAACAGCAGGCGCGCGGGTGACGTTCACGGCGACGATCAATGCTAGACGATTCACGCCGCGCCGCCTTCGAAAGTGGCGCACGACACGGAATGGCGGCGATACCGGCCGACACGGGTACTGTGCCTGGCGGGGCGCAATTCGGCCCGTGTGGGGACACGACAGGCTAGGTGACTGGTGACCTGACCGCCACGCTGGCTACTCAACATGAGGAACAACGGATTCCAACGGGCCACTCCATGGACAGTCAAGTTAAAGCGATCCACAACTTTCATTCATCCTATCAGTGAACGAAGACTATCATTTATTCATGTATAATTCCCTGGAGCTGCAATGCGAATTCATGGCCCGCAGTTGTAATAAGTTAAAAGAGACACAGGCATCGGGACGATCCAATCACGGGGAAAGGGTGTAACTTGGCAAGCTGACACCTGACTGCCGTCCCTTGTCGTTGACCAGAGCTGCAGCTAATAGGGCACACATCCGTCTTGCATTGCTTTTTCAAGCCGTTTCAATGTTTAACATCAACATCGTTCAAACCTTGTTCCGATACAAACTCTCTCTATGTGTTGTCCCTTTATTCGATATGAGCCAGTCGATGGAAAGACTGAAAAGCAGACGGGCGGATCGGATTTCAAAAGACAACGGATAATACCGAAGCCTAAAGTGGGATGAATTACGACACATAATCTCATCTTCCCCTCTTTGACGTAATTTAGGGCCTATAATTTCAGGTAGGTAGACAATACAATTTTCTAGCATTCGGTATCTAATGCACTATGTACATTCCAATGCGGTGAGGTAATGTAATGATTTTCAGTGACGTAACGCAGGACGAAACAACATTGAAAGAACACCCCATTCCAACGTATGCACAGTAGGTATCCAACCGACTCGGACCATTTGTCAATGGGAATTGTCCAATCGAAATCTACTAAATAACTGATCACCCGATGCATATCACTAATGAAAAATGAAAAAATAGCTCTACATTTTAGAATGCGTTAGTTTAATTCCTTGGAAAGGAGAAGCCACCACGGGGCTTTTCAAGAAAGCATTATGTTCAAGCCGACGACCCTAAAATGTGATCGATACGCCCTATCGTATTTATTGGGACTGAAACACTGAACCTATAAGATCAAATATCAGATGCATGAAATATTGAGCATCAACTGTGTCGTGGCTATTCAGGGTTGGCCCATCTACTATGGCACGGGGTATGAGCGTTACCGACCGTAATATGTAAGATAATGGTGATAATGGTTAAGTTGGTGATGAAAATAATAGTGACTGACAGAACAGACAGAATAATCAAGAACGAGTACTTTGAACGTCCAAACTACATCGTCACCGCAGCCCATGCAGCACGAACTACTCGATGAAAACAAGTCAAATTGAGCTGATTGTCAGCTTCACTGGCAGGGTAGGCTGACCTGCAGCGCAGCCGAGCCATGCGGCACAGTCTAAGCAACCTCTGAGGCTGAACCGCAAAGCACGTAAATATAGGTT